CGTGGGGGTTTTGGGGAAGGGGCTCCATCCTTCTGGATTGGGGCTGGGGGCTCCCCGCATCCGTGGGGGTCTTGGGGATGGGGGGGTCCCATCCCATTGAATTGGGTTTTGGGGTTCCCCCTGTCCCTGGGGGTCTTGGGGAGGGGGGTTTCCATCCCACTGGATCGGGTCTGGGGTCTCCCCACCGTTCATGGGGGTCCTTATGGGGGGGGGTCTTTTCCCACTGGATCGGGTCTGGGGGGTCCCACCCCGCAGGTTTTGGGGTCTCCTATGATTCTAGGGGGTCCATCCCCTGTTTTTGGGGTGGGGGGTCTCCTGTGGCTTTGGGGGGGGTCCATCCCCTGTTTTTGGGGTGGGGGTCTCCTGTGGCTTTGGGGGGGGTCCATCCCCACTGGATCGGGTCTGGGGGGTCCCACCCCGCAGGTTTTGGGGTCTCCTATGATTCTAGGGGGTCCATCCCCTGTTTTTGGGGTGGGGGTCCAGGCTGTGTGGGGGTCATTTAGGGGATGATCTTTTAGGATTTCGGGCTGGGCTGAGCCCCCCTCCCCCCCCCAAACCGAGGGTCCCGCGGGCAGCCGGGGGGACCCCGGGAGGGCTCGGGGTGGGGGGTGGGGGGGTCCATGGCCCGTGTGTGACGCCCCCTCCCCTCCCCTCGCAGATGCAGAGCCCACCGGGGGCTCGGTACCGGATCCGGAGGAAGAGGAGGAGTACGAGTACATGAACCGGCGGCCGGGGGGGGCCCCGGGAGCCCCCCAACCCCGGCCGGCCTCGCTCGAAGAGCTGGGCTACGAATACATGGAGGTGGGCTCAGAAGCGGGGGGACCCCCGGGTGCCCCCCAAGGCCGAGGAGCGCAGGGCGACGAAGGCGGGGATGAAGAAGAGGAAGAGGAGGACTACGAGTACATGAACAAACAACCGCGGCTCAGCCGCTCGCTGGGCACCGAGCCCACCGGGGCCGTGCCGGGACCCCCAAGGCACGACGGCTACACCGATATGAGGGCGGGGGACGGCGCCGCGACCCCCGCCGAGGACGAGCAGGGCTACGAGGACATGGAGGCCGTGCTGAGGCCGCGCTGCCCCGGCTGCCGCAGCCCCCCCGGGCCCGGCATGAAGCCCCTGCGGAGTTTGGAAGCCTCGGACTGCGCCTTCGATAATCCCGATTATTGGCACAGCCGCCTCTTCGCCAAGGCCGATGCCCAGCGGACTTAGGGAGACCCCCCCCACATCCTCTCCCTCCCCCCATCACGGGACCCCTCCCCCCCACATCGGGGGGGCTCACACTGGATATGAAGGATCCCCCCCCCCAACCCCCGGGGGGATGAGCTGCAGCCGGGTTAGGGCGGGGATTTGGGGGTCTCGGCCCCTTTTTGAGGCTCTTGTGCCCTCTCCCGCTTTTTTTTTTTTTTTTTTTTTGGGGGGGGGGGGTGTGGGGTGGGGGAGGAGCTGAGCCTGAGCACGCCGAGGTGGGGAGGGGGCGGCGGAGACCCCCTGGATCCCCCCTGGATCCCCCTCCCATCGTTTCCTTCCTCCCCCCACTCACTGAAGGTGCTCCCCAAATCCCTGGGGGGGGGGTCTGGGGTCCCTGGGGTCCCCACCCAGAGAGACAGACGAGGTCAAGACGGGATTTCTGAAGGACCCCAGACTCATTTTCAGGTTTCCCCGTTCCCTGCTGAGTGAAGGTTTAGGGGTGTCCCCCCTCCCCCGAGGTCGGGGATCCCTTTTTGGGGGGGTTTCCCCGGTTTTTCGGGGGCTGCCCGGGTTGTGGGGAGGGGGATCCCCCGCTCAGGGATCGCCCCCGGCCCCGGGGGTCGCGCGAGATGAGTGAAAATAAAGGAATTTGAATAAAAACGTCGTGGATGAGGTCGGGGGGGGGGACACCGGTCCGGGGATCGGGACCACGGTCCGGGCACAGCGACAGCCCCGGGGCAGTGACCGGTCCCGGTGCTGGGGGGGGTCACGGGGGGCTTGACCGGGGGTCGAGGGGAGCACCGGACCGGGGGAACTTGGGACCATGGGGCTGAGGCCGGTGAGCGGGTTCAGTGTCACGGTCCGGGGACAGCGGGGAGCGGTCCCGGTGTGGCCGCGGTGCCGGTGCTGGGGGGGCGGGGGAGGACAGAGAAGCTTGACCGGGGACCAAGGTCGCGGGTCTGGGGGTTGTGAGTGGGACCGGTGCGGCAGGGCCGGATCCAGGAACACGCCGGGGACCCCGACAGCCGAGGGAAGGGCAGAGTGACCGCTCCCGGTGCCGTCCCGGTGCCGAAATTCCACACCCGCCCCTTCCTCTCCGGTTCCCGCCTTTCGCCTACATCCCCCATCACCCTCTGCGCCACTTCCGTTCTCGCGCCCTCTCGCGAGAACCGCGCCGCTCGCTGGGAGTTGTAGTCCGCAAGGGGGCGGTACACACCCGTCCGGGGCTCTGCGCGCGGGGGCCGCCGGGAGTTGTAGTCCAGGGGGGCGGGGAGGACTCGCGTTCCCAGCGTGCGCCGCGCGGAGCCCGCGCTCTGCCCTGCTCGCGCCTCCGGCTCGCGGTCCCGGGGGCTCCTCAGCGCCGGGCGGGGGGGGCTCGAGCAGGCCCGGGGGGCTCCGGGGGGCTCGGCGGGGCTCCCACCATGTCGGGCGAGGAGGAGGCGAACGAGCTCACCATCGCCGAGGACCTGGTGGTGACCAAGTACAAGATGGGGGGGGACATCGCCAACCGTGAGTACGGGCCGCGGCCGGGGGGGCGGCGGGGAGGGCGCGGGGCAAGCGCTGAGGGGGGAGCGGCCAGGCCTGAGCGGCTCCCGGTGTGACCCCCCCCCGGCTTAGAAGCCCCCTCCCCTGACGGGCTGGGGGGCCGTGTTGGGGTGGGGGGAGCGGGTCGGGGCCCCCCCCGTGTCCCGGTGTGACCTCCCCGGTCCGCGGGAGCCGCCGCCCGGTCCCGGCGGGGCCCGGCCCCGCGCGGGGGCTGCGCGGGGCGGGGGGGGGCCCCCCCCCCCCGGCGGGGCCCGGCCCCGCGCGGCCGCCGCCGCTGCCGGCACGTGGTACCGCGCCCCACGTGCACCGGCGGCGCGGGGGGAGCGCGGCCGGGCCGGGCCGGGCCGGGCCTGCCGCCCCCCGCCCCAAACCCCGCCCGTGCCCGCTTTGTTCGGGGTCTGAGCCCCGGCTCCGGTCCCGGTTTAGGGGGGGTCCAGCCCCGTGGTGGCGGCGGGAACGGGACGGGAACGGGGGGAGCCCCAGGCGGGGAGGCCTGGCTGGGTTTGGGGGGTGAGGGTTGGTCTGGGAACGGGGTTCTGTTCTGGGAATGAGGGGGTCCAGCTTTGGGGGTGGGATCCCGAACCGGTCTGGGGGTGCTGCTCCAGGAATGGGGTCCTGTCCTGGGAATGGGGGTCTTGTTCTGGGAATGGGGTCCTGGACCCGTCTGGGGGTCGTGTGTTGGGAACGGGGACCAGTTTTGGGAATGGGGGTCCGGTTCTGGGAAGGGGGATCCTGTCCCGGGCACGGGGTCCTGTCCCGGGCACGGGGTCCTGTCCCGGGAGCGGGGTCCTGTCCCGGGCACGGGGTCCTGTCCCGGGAGCGGGGTCCTGTCCCGGGAGCGGGGTCCTGTCCCGGGAACGGGGTCCTGTCCCGGGAACGGGGTCCTGTCCCGGGAATGTGGCTCCAGCCGCTGTCCCCACCCCCGGCAGGTTCTGCCCCCCTCTCCCGGTTATTTTTTCATCCCTTTGCCGGTGTCCCGGCTCCGGGAGCCGCCCGGACCGGTTCCGCGGGGCTCCCCGGTGTCCCGCCCCGCTTCCTGCTGACTCCAGAGCTTCTTTTGAACTCGTGCCGGTGTCCCGGGAGGCGCTTTGGGAGCGGGGATTCCCTTCGGGAAGGGAGGGAGGTCTCCTGGGCAGACTGGAAGTTTGGTCACCTCCCTTCCCGGGGGGAAAGGCAGCTCCACGCAGGTTCTCCTCCCCTGGGAAGAGCAAACACCAAAAAAATCTGGCCAAAAAAACCCTTCCAGCTGTCGGTTTTTTAGGGATAGAAAGTGCCTTAACTCCCTAAAAATCATCGGGAAGGAGAGAGGGATTTGAGGAGCGTTCCTGCTCCTCTGATCCCTCGGAATGCTCCGAGGGTTTTCCCTTTTATCTGCTTTTTTTTTTTTTTTTTTTTTTTTTTCTCCCTGTTTGTTTTATTCCCCCTCCATGTCCCGCTGGCTCTTATCAGGAATGTTATCCTTGCTTTGAAATATTCCCAGCTTTCCCATGGAATTTGGAGTTGTGGCACAGGTGACAGTGCCACAGCACTCCCAAGGATTCCTTGGAATTCTGAGGAAACACGCTGGGACAAAGAAGGGAATGTGAGGGGACATCCCAGGATCCCAAAATATTTTGGGATCAGCGCTGTGGAGGAAGCTGCAGGAGATCTGGGGACACCTTTTTTTCCCCCAGATTTTTTCATGAGGCGGGCTGGAATTCCTTGGTGGTTTTTTGGTTTGTTTTTTTTGGGGAGTGGAACATTCCCAAAACTTCCTGGAGTGGTGCGTGGGGGGCGTTCCCTGTGTCAGCACAAAGATTCCCTGGAAAACAGGGACTCATGGAGTGAGCTTTGATGTCTCCCTGTCATTCCCAAACCTGTTCCTGGAGCTCTGACTTCTCCCTGAGGAATTTGGGATTGTGGGGCTCTCACTTCCCAAAAACATATTCCCAAATAAACAAAATCACAGCAGGATTTACTCCTTTCCCATCGACATCCAGGGGATCCGGATAAAATCTGGGCAGAACAACGAGGTTTTTCCCTCTGGGTGTTGGGTTTGGGGCTGTGGATCCATGAAAATGGGTTTATTTTTTATTTTTAATAATTTTTTTGGGGGGGAATTGCAGGGGTCCTGCGTGCCGTGGTGGAAGCGGCGAATCCCGGCGCGTCCGTGCTGTGCCTGTGTGAGAAGGGCGATGCCATGATCATGGAAGAGACGGGGAAAATCTTCAAGAAGGAAAAGGAAATGAAGAAAGGTGAGGGTGGGGAAGGTTTTTTTTTTTTTCATTCCTGGGAAGTGCTGCTGGATGAGGAATTCCTCGCCGTTCTCTTGATTTTTTTTTAACCCAAATTTCCTCCTCCCTGCTGTGCCTCAGTATTTCCGTGGATCCATGGGGGTGATGTGGGAGGGATGATGTGTGATGACAAAGGTTTGTCACCAAATTCCCATCCTGGAGGTGCTGCAAGTGGCTTTAGGTGGGATATTGGGAAAAAAAAATTCCTCCCTGTGGGGAACTGGAGTGGAATTCCCATCCCTGCAAGTGTCCCAGGCCAGGTTGGAGCAGCCTGGAACAGGGGGAAGTGTCCCAAGAGGGTGGAACAGAGCTTTAAGATCCTCCCCAATCCCAAACCATTCCTCAAATCCATGATTTTTTTTTTTTTTTGTTGTTCCCATTCCCAGGAATCGCCTTCCCCACGAGTATATCCGTAAATAACTGTGTGTGTCACTTCTCCCCGCTCAAGAGTGACCAGGATTACATCCTCAAGGACGGGGATTTGGTCAAAATGTGAGTGCCTGCATCACATCCCATGGGAATTCCTTCTCCCTTCCCCAACATTATTTGGGTTGGAAGGACCTGTCAGATCTCCCCACCCCAAATCCCAAAATCATTTGGGTTGGAAGGATCTGTCAGATCTCCCTTCCCCAAATCCCAAAATTATTTGGGTGGGAAGGATCTGTCAGATCTCCCCACCCCAAATCCCAAAATTATTTGGGTGGGAAGGATCTGTCAGATCTCCCCACCCCAAATCCCAAAATTATTTGGGTTGGAAGGATCTGTCAGATCTCCCTTCCCCAAATCCCAAAATCATTTGGGTTGGAAGGATCTGTTAGATGTTCCTTCCCCAAATCCCAAAATTATTTGGGTTTGAAGGATCTGTTAGATGTTCCTTCCCCAAATCCCAAAATCATTTGGGTTGGAAGGACCTGTCAAACCACTCATTCCCCCCCACCCTGTTTTCACCATGGCCTTAATTCCTTGCTAATTAAAGCCTCCTAACGAGCCTGGAGGGGCTCCTGGGGCATCATTCCATGTGCTGGTGCCCCTGGAGCAGTGGGATCGTCCTGGAATTCCTGGAATTCCCCTTTTCCCTCTGTGTTGCAGTGACCTGGGCGTGCACGTGGACGGCTTCATCGCCAACGTGGCTCACACCTTCGTGCTCGGCGCCTCCAAGGTGGGTTTGTCATCGGGGGGTGTCTCCTCGGGGCTGGGGAGGCCTTGGGGTGCCAGGGGCACCAGCCTGGAGTGTCAGGATCCGAGGGGCAGTGCCCTGGAGTGTCAGGATCCGAGGGGCAGTGCCCTGGAGTGTCAGGATCCGAGGGGCAGTGCCCTGG